GACTTGCCCAGGGTCACACAGTTAGCGAGTGTCTGAGGCATGATTTGAGTTTAGGTTTTCCTAATTTCTGGCGCAGCACTCCACCCACTGGGCCACCTAGCTGCCTCTATAACAGATATAAATAATGTCATTTCAATTTTTTTTAAGATCAGAATTGTGATTTATTAATCTAAGGAACTCACAGTAAGGTGTTCCCTCTACCCAAGCATATCGATATCTGGCGCCTGCGATTTATAAGCCCAGAAAGTTGTCTGGGGCAGTAAGATTAAGTGAGTTGTAAAAGTTACAAGATGCCAGCGATAGGACTGGAACCCAGATTCTCTTGATACTAAGAGTGATTCTCTATCCTCCAGCCCTGCTGCCTTTCACTATTTGAGATCTATCCTAATTAAAATCTAAACTGGCAAAGCATTAAACCCTCCATTTTTGTTTGTTTGTTTGTTTTTACTAATGGCTTAATTTACTTGTCTTTGGATATAACAAGTTTTTTAAAGTGTTCAATATGCATGTCCAAGAAAACAAATGAGTATTTAATTTCCAAGGAAGAAATGTGTAGTAAATGATTGTGCTTTATATTTACAAATTAAAAGTTTATCTTGAAAAATGTTTTGAGAGTGACCACACACACACACACACACACACAAACACACTCCAAGTATTGTTTTGTGCTGACTTTTTCCAAAACAAAACTAGGTGTCCTGGAAGGCCCAATGGGAAGACTAGGAACATCTATACATAGAAAGAAAAGGGGCCAAGTTATTTAGAACCAAATGACAGAACATACGTCATGGCTTTTTTTTTTTTTTGACTGCTCAGAGTCACACAGTCAAATTTGAACTCAGGTCCTCCTGACTCCAGGGCTGGCGCTCCCTCCACTGCAGCGCCACCTAGCTGCCCCGAGTCATGGCTTCTTTAATGCACAGCTCCACAAGGTGAGTCCTTCCTGCTTGGGTCACAACAATGTCTCTAGCTGGTCCAACACCAGATCCATGGGGAGCCTGGGGGGCTCTTTTTTGACACACTGAGATTTTTGATTCGCATATTTAATCACCAGGCAGTATTTCTAGCACAGTACGTTTAAGAGTTCTGTAGAAGCCTCTGCTGTCCAGCACACTTTGATAAGGAGGAAGTGCTAAGCCAGTTCTGTGCTGGGTTTGGAGTCAGGAAGGCCTGAGTTCAAATCCTGCCACTTACCCTTACTAGTTGTATAACCCTGGATATGGGGCAAGTCACTTAACCTTCCTCTGCCTCAGTTTCCTCATCTGTAAAATGGGGGCTATAAATATCACCTACCTTACAGGGTGGTTGTTGGGATCAAATGAAATAACATAACAAGTACTTTATAAACCTTAAAGCACTATATAAATGCTAGCTATTATTATTATCTACCTAATCAAAATGAGCTCTGAGTCCCATCCACTGACTCACTACACTTCCTTCTTTTATATTGTCTCTACTTCAGTAAGTGCTAGTCATACAACTTTGGCATGATGATGGAGGCTTTATACAGAAGCAGATAAATGCACTTAGATAGGACATGCAACTACTCTTGACATAGAATCCATAAGCAAATAAATAGTACATAATGATCAGAGAACAGAAAGCATAATAAAATAATAAACCAGGCACCAAACAGCTTCCAGCCCACTGCTTGTACCAACCCTGGAAGTCTCGTCAAACTAGGATGAGGCAATCACCTCTAGGATTGATCTGGACCTAGCACTTCTAGTCACTGTTTCATTTGAGTGCTCGCTCAAGCAGGCAAAACAGTGTCATGGTAGTGCCCACATATGTTCAACTCATTTTTCCCATAGGAATGATCATTACCCCACACCCCACACACAAACTCTGGTGTTGGACTCTTAGCTCATCCTGGAGCTTCAAACTTGCAATCTGCTGCAAGATGGTGGCCGTAAGGAGGATGATTTCCCCAGAGATCTCTGACTTCTGACTTTAGCTTATGTCAGTCACTGAGGAGTGGTCAGCCCTAGTAGAGAGTCATGACTCATGGTCCTTATGTCCTTTCTCCTGGACCTTCAGTAGGAGTGAGGGGAGTGCTTTCTGTCCCATCCATGTCTCACCATTTGTCTTCCCATCAACCTCTCCCCCCACCATTCCCCATTGCTCCTGTTAATAGGATCGGGGAGAGCCAGACAACTATGCTTATTTCAATTCAAAACATTTTTTTAAAAAAATGCTTATGTGGAAGATACTAGGGATCAAAAGAAAGATGAAACAATCCCTGCTTTCAGAGGTGTAATATTCGATGGGGTCTATGTGTGGGAATATTTTAGACCCATTAGGATAATATGTGAATGTGCTGTTATTATTGTTTGTCTTTCATTTTTGAAGAGGACCAGTGACATCATGGAGCGATGACGTGTGTGAACTGGATTTAACTGAGGCAGAGTTGTGCAAAGTCGTGTGCCTCACTCTCTTCCAGTCATCAAATCCGGGGGCAGGACAAAAGTCAAGATGACTGGTGATGGCCAGGGATACAGTGGATGACCTTGGCATCTTTGATGTCTGACCAAGCTCTCATCACTCCACAGAGCCTGCTTCAGCTGCCTTCATGGTCATGGAAACAATTGTTCCCATCTGCCCATTTCCTATTCCACTGGGGGAATGTCTACTTGGAGGAGACATTCGCTCAACTCATGTGTTAAGCTCAAGGCGGATACTAAAACAAAGTACTCTAGAAAAATGTGAAGAGAGAGAGGGAGAGAGAGAGAGGGAGGGAGGGGGAGGGGGAGAGAAAGAGAGAGAGAGAGAGAGAGCGCTTAGGGGTAGGGAGGGCTTAATGAAGGGACCCTAAGCTGGGGCTTGAGGGGAGATGAGAAGTATTCTAAGCCCTAGGGACGGGCTGCATGGATGTATCAAGGTGGGAAAGGGCTGAATGAGATCAGACAGCAGCTAACAGTTCAGTTTAGCTGGAATACAGAATGTGTGGAAGGGAGTACTCTGAAAGATGACTAGAAAGTGAGGTTAGAGATATGTTACAAAGGACCTTAATTGCTAAACCAAGGAGGTTACATTCTATAGACAATTGAGAGCCATTGAAAAAGTTTTGAGAAATGGTGTGACAGGAACATTTTGAAGATTATTTTGGCAACTCTGTGAGGGATGGAATGGAGAAAGCATTGACTAGAGGTAGGTAGACCACGTGGGAGGCAATTATAACAGCCTAGGTAAGAGGTGATGAGGTTGTGAATGTACACATTTTTCCTTATTACAAACATAGTGTTTCATGTATTACAAATGAACAAGTTGGCAAAAACTGGAATTCTTAATGTTAAATTAATCCTGGGGCTATACAATTAAATTTTTATTTCACACTATGGCTATAAAATTGAAGATATTTAGAGTAGGGGCCTGGTAGCTCTGTGTGTGTGTGTGTTTGTGTGTGTGTGTGTGTGTGTGTGTGTGTGTGTGTGTGTGTGTGTGTCCAAGGACCAGTTGAAACCCCTTGAGTAGGTCCCTGGCCCCCCGTAGCTATCAGCTACTAAACTGCAAAGGGAGTATGAGTAGTAGCATTGGAAGGAATATCCACATCAATTAAGGTATAGATGACTGAAGTTGAGATGCGATTCCATTATATTTCATCTCCTGCATGAGATGAAGAGATGGGATGATGAGAGAAGCCCGCACAGGAGACAGAGAAGGCAAAGGTATCGTATGATACAAAGAGGCCCAGCAGAATGAGAACAGGAAAGAGACCATGGGATTGAGCAATAAGGAGGTCATTAGCAGACTTAGAGCTGTTTCAGTAGACTGTTGGCAATGGGAAACCATATTGCTGTGGAGTGAGAAGGGAGTGGTAGTGAGAAGAGGCAGTGAATGTAGGCTGCACTTTCTTCAAATCTGGCAGCCAGGGGGAGAGATGGGATAGCCAGGTCCAGTTTGTTACCTTCTCCCCAAACACTGCAACTCCCTGCACTCCCTCCCCCACCCCCTTCTTCCTCTTCCTGGTCACACCAGTCCTAATCATCTGTACCCACTGAGGTAACATGGCGTAATGGACAGCGACAGCACCTGGATTCAAGTGTTGCCTGAAACATATAAGCCATGAGACCTTGAGCAAGTCATGGAGTGCTCTGAGTTTTGCAACACACTTTGCATACTATTTCTTTTGATCCTCACAACCACCCTGTGAGGTAGATGTTATTATTATTATTATTATTATTACCACTTTACAGATGAGAAAACTAAGGCTGAGAGAGGTTAAGTGACTCGTACAAGACCACACAGCTCGTAAATGTCTGAAGCAAGATTTGAATTCAGGTCTTCCTGATTCCAAGTCTCACACCCTATTTTGTGCCACCTGGCTGCCTAATGCCCTGAGCCTCAGTTTCCTTATCTGTAAAGTAGGGATAATAATACCTATAGCAGCTACTCCAGAGAGTTTTTGTAAGGATCAAATGAGATAATGTATATAAAGCACTTTATAAACTTTAAAACATTCTATCAATATGAGCAAGCATCATTAATTAGTTTATTAATTACTACTACCATTATCCCCCAGCTCCAATACAACAAGAACCACTTAAGATTTTGTAATTCTACATTATGCCTATAAAAAATCAGCCCACGATGCTTTGGGGCTCCTGAGTAGTTATGGATGTGTGGGCTATCAAAAAAAATAGCAAGAACTACATTCTTCCTCATCTTCCCCTAGCCAACTTCCTCTCCCAACCCTCCCCCCACACCCCGCCCCAACCACCACCCCAGGAAATGTGGGAGAAGCTGCCAGAAAGATGACAGCAAAACTATTGTGGGCTGCTCAACTTTAAAACAAATCTATCTGTAAGGCTTCCTTTCATGTGGCCCTGGGAATGGGTGGGACACCTATAGCCTCAGCCAGGGTGGGGGACTAGGCATCAGTGGAGGGACTGGCCTGTTGTTTTTAGCTGTTTAATCTAAGGTAAGTTTACTCCTCTCCCCACCACCACCACCACCAAAAAAAAAAAAAAAAGATACACACACAACAAGATGCGGGCAGGTTTTTTTTCTCTCCAACATAAACACTTTGTTTTTAAGATTATTATACAATTAACTGAACACATTTTGCCTTCTGTTGAGAACAAATTGATTTTCAAGGTGAGGTCTTGGGAATAGAACACTTTTAGTGAATTAGATTGAAACTGGCTAATGCAGGGGGCCGCTGGTATTGGGCCAAAGAGGGGTGTGCCGTCCTAGACGAACGATACTGGAAGCTGAGAAAAATCCATTTTCCCCATGGCTAGATTTTAGGTTTGACATTGTCCCGCATTGCCTCTCACTTAGCACTATACACTTACAGCACTCTGCAGTTTGACATACACAAATCACAGTACATGCTTATTCTCCCCACTTTCCTTTCTTTCTTTTTCTTTTTTCTTTTTTCTTTTTTTAAATACAATTATCATCAAACACAAAGCAAGGCTGAACATTACCGAAAGCCTGACTTCCAATCTGGGTCTTTCCAAGAATGCCCACTCTAAGCCATCCGTGGGAATATTTTATTTTCAACAGAAGGAGGAAAGAAATGACCACACTTGGGTTGCTATTGGAAGAACAATAACAAAAAAAAAATGTTTTCCCATTGGCAACCAGTTTTCACTACAGTAGCAGGGAAGCACTGGGCAGACTCAGTTTCCCTCAGGATTGCTTGATTCCACGTCTCGCAAATATGAATCAATTATGTTTGGAGGAACACCTTGCAAAAGAAGCCTGCAGAAGGAAAGGCCACCTACAAAGGAGGAGAAAAGGAAATAGTTCAACATAGCTGAGAGAGACAGGCTGACTTTGTTGTTGGGGGGGCTAGCTGCTCTGAGAAGCTGGGACAAAGAGCCTTTCGGTTCCTGCTGGGGCATCGTGTCCTGACTTTGGTGTTTGCTGGCATTGCAGAGGAAGAGGCAAGTTTCAGAGCAGGCCTCCTAAGCACTCCAGATACACATTGTGGTTCAAATTTGGTGATTTCGAAATATCGGCTCCTCTTTGAGCATAGGTGAGAATACTCTGTGTGTGTATATGTACGAGCCACACAGTGGAGTGAATTCACCCAAACTGTGGATGAGCACCAAGATCCACTTTCACCTGAAAGGTGAAGGATGGAGGGCTCCATCTGTGATTTCCTTCTGGCGAAACTCCCTCCTCTAATGCAGACCAATATCTCCCCTTCAGCGTGTAGTCTTAGAGTGGTGCCTGGGTAACTGAGAGGCAGTGACTTGCCCAGGTTCACGTAGCTAGCGACCATCTGAGATCAGATACAAGCTCAGGTCTTCCCCACTCCGTTAGCTACTTGTACGCCATGCCGCCTCTCCAGCTTAACCTTCAATCTTCTAATTAAGCGGGGATTCTGACCCAGCAAAATAGGGGTAGGAACAATGGGACAACTCCTGAATAAAGCTTAAATAAGCCAACCAGGATATCTTTTTTTGTTTTCTTTCTGGGGGCCAATGTGGGGAAGACGATGAATTAAAAATTTATTGAAAATTGAATTCACTGAAAGTAACAGGACTGCCCTTGTATTTGGTGTGAACACCCACTGATCCCTTGGACTTACCTTTGTTTCTAAGTTTGTTTTCTAAAAAATTGAATCCTTTCAGAGAGAACCTTTTGGAACAACCTACCAACCCCTCTTAGGGAAGGGCTTTACTAATCTCTAACAAAGGTGCAATTCAGACAAAAGCAGCATGCTGTTTGACATTCTTAGAAAACTTCCCCGATGCAAGTCCCAGAAAACCATTCTTTTCTTAAAGTGAAAAAGAAAAAAATCCAATCACGTCTCAGAAGAGATGCTGCCATTTGTTTATGGGTCCATTCCTTGATGCAGTTAGCTGCAAGGTGCTGTCCCGCAGTCTCCAGCTATGTTCAAGGCCTCATGCTCTATCTTGTGACATAAACAAGTTTCTTAGGATGCTGGGGTTATTGTGATGGGTGAGTACTAGCGGTTAATTTCAAAGTTTCTGAAATACACATTTAAACTACTCAATTAATGATTAAGGACATACCATTTTCATTAGGTCACATAATGAAAATCATGCCATACTCTACAGGCTCTGTATGGCTTATGACAGTCATAAGCTTCATAGGCCGAAACCATATGAAAGCTTACCTGAGATGACACTATACATTCAAAAATCCTTACTGCGCTACAACTAAGGGAGAGAGAGAGAGAGAAGTTATAAGCATTAATAAAGGGCTGACACCAAGGTGGATGACTTGTTGGATAAAATTATTTTCACAGTTACGGTAGATGAGGAGATGATTTAATGTATCCTTAGTCATGTAAAAGATGGAGAAAATAGAAGCATATGGAAAATAAAGGCAGGATCCAGTACCACTTCAAAGGGCTCATTAATATGGGAAAGCTTTATTAATAGGCAGGACCAGGGGAATTAACTCCTAGTCTTTTGCCTTAGCGGATGGTAGAGCCAATCAGATTGTGAGGTGGATGTTTATGGTAATAGCTTCCAAACCGTAAGCTTAAAAGAAACTACAACATATATATATGGTGTTTTTCAACAAAAGAAAAACACAGACATCGCACTATGATACATATATATATGTGGAAACTCAAAAAGGCAAAATTATCAAGTAAATCTAGGTTAGCCTGCGGGGCCCTGTTGGACATTGTGATCTGAGCTCGTTATATATAAAGTCTCACGTTTTAAATTGGAGGGTTTGAATGAACAGAAGCCCTTAGCATACCCCTGATCTAGAGGACGACTGAGAGGAGTTCAGTATTAAGTGCTCGGACTGAATGGCTATGACGTAATACTTAAGATGTGAATTCCTTGAGAACAGGGACGATTTAATTTTTGTTTCTGTAATTCTAGTGCCGAGAAATATGCCTGGCATATCACATACTTGTTGATTGGTTGATTACGGGATCACAAACATGGAACTAGAAAGGACCATTGAGTCCAAAGAGGTATTTTACAGATGAGGAAACCCAGGCCCAGGGAGATGAAGTGATTTGCCCAGGGTCATATAGCTAGTAGGTGTCTGAGGTAGGATTTGAACTCAGGTCTTCCTGACTCCAAGCCCAGAACCTGATCTACTGTACTACCTGGCTACCTTTATGATTATAATCCAGAAAATGTATTTTAAAAGATAGTTTCAATTTCCTCCTATTTTGGAGGCTATAAATATAATTTCTGAAAGTTCATAATCAATCAATCAATCAATCAATCAGTCAATCAGGAAACCTTTATTAAGCACTGACTGCCAGGCATTGTGGTAAGCTCTGGGGATGCACAAGGAAAATTTATTGTGGCCTCTATGTCTGAGGGTAACAAATTTCTTCTTCACCCACCTCACAGACCGAATCCTAATCGATGCTTTTGGATTGGGAAGAATTGAACATAAAAATGTGTCTGTATCTACACATACATATGTGAGCATATGCACATATATATGTAAATCAGTGATGTACATGGACATTGAAGGTCTCTCATTCAGTCCAGCCCCTGATCTTACAGGTGAGGAGGCCCAGTCAGATTCCATAAAACTCTTTTCCTTCAGATACTCTACTTCACATATTTTGTATCCCAAATTAAAATGACTGTTCCTGCTTATGCTATGATTTGAAAATATATATATCATGTGTGAAGCAAGCCTAGCTTTATACATGACACGCCTTCATGCAGGGTCCTGGAAGGGTCTCAGGTTTCATTTAGGGACATAAATCTCCACACTAATTTCAGCCACATGAAAATGTTCCGACTGCCTGATAGGGCTTGTTGTAGACATAGACAGGGCTTGTCAAGTCCCTAAAGGTCAAACCTATGGCCAAAGGGTCCCAAACCTCTTCATAAACTCGTCTTGAAGCAGTGGTGTCAGTCTCAAAGAGAAACAGGGGCTCTTCTTCCACTCACAAGGATCCCCACGGACCGAATGTGGATTTGGTTTTAAATTGTGATATCATCACGTTTTCTCTCATTTTTATTTATTTTATTACATTTTTCTCAGTTATGTTTTAATCTGGTTCAGTTGTACTCAGGAATGCTGTGCGGTGCATGTTTGACACCTGTCCGAGAGGGAGTCTGAGACATGTGAAGACACGGTTTTGTTGGTTCCCAAGCTCATAGTGGCCTTGTTGTTAAAAATAAGGTGCTTCGTAGTTGTAATTTTGTGACCTGTTACGCTACCTGACTTCCTACCTGATAACTTATCTCTGTTAGTTTACTGTTCTTGAATAATTTGGCCTTCCTCACTCATGACATAGCTGTTGTATGCCATGAGTACTAATGAGGACAGTCTAAAAGCAGAAGGAAAGGCAAGCTTTACATGCAAAATGCATTTTCATGTAAAATAGGAATGGAATGGAAAGTAATATCCAGTGGGATATGAATTTTTTAAACCTGTTGCCGCCCCGCCAAGAAGACTGGTTGTCCTGGGGTATTTAATCCTTGATATATCACTGCAGAATTAGAATAGTGGGACTGGTATTTATCAATTCTCAGCCGACATTCTTACCTTTTAAATTTTAAACAGTTTAACTCTGCTTAATCAGCTATTGCCTTCAGTACCAACAATGTTTTCCAAGCTATCAAAGCTCACATCACATTTTCATGAATTCACTGACTGATACATGATTTCCTAACAACAAAATTCTTATTTAAAATTCAAATGGCAAAGCATTAGGAGTGTCCCACATTTAATCCCCCCAAAATACATTTTTCTAAATTGCTTTTATGATATTATAATTTTATACGATCAGCAGATTTAATTTACTTTCAAAACATGGTATAGAGGAATTATTTTTTAGAAGGTGCCTTTCAAATTTCTACATAAACACTGTCAGTGTAATAAAAATAACAATGCTAACTGTTGAAATTAAGCTGAAATGGTATCAGCTGAGATGCAAGATAAAGTATTTTTAACTATTGGTTGTTTGGTTTGAATCCAAAACAAACCTCTGATTAAGTCAAGAAAGCAGCAGGAAAAATACTGGAATGACCGTCACAGCTGTAAAACTTGTAAAAATGTAATATCCTTTATATTTGATTTGAAAGTCACCTATTCAGAAAAAAATAATTCCTGTTATGCATTCACAGTGAATATAAATTCTGCTATATAACCAAAGACAAAACCATTAGGAAAAAAAGGCTTAAAATTAAGCTTACATGATAATTCTTTTTTTTAAAGGTACATATTCAATTCTCTATCATATTTACTCATTTGACTTTTAGAAGATCCTTTTAGTAGATTTTTAGATTAAAAAAATCAATTTCATAGTTGAAATCCCTTGAGCATTTGTTCTTTGAATTTCAGAAACAGACATCAAAGGGGAGCTTTTTCATGAGTAAATAGGGTTAAAAAAAAACAACCCACCCCAGGAACATGGGCACATAGATGTAGGGCTGCAAGGGACTTCAAAGGCCATCAAGTTCCCACTCTCACTCTCCCAACTCCCACTCGTTTTACTGAGAAGGAAACTCAGATTTAGAAGAAGTGCCATGAGTTGCACAGCTAGTAAATATCAGAACCAGGATTTGAACTCAGGTCTTCCTGACTCCAAGTCCATGTCCCATTTCCTAGTTTAGGATTCCATCTTATAGAAATGTAAGAAAACTCATGTCCTCAAGAGTTTAATGCAATGAGAGCAAGAAAGGATGCTTCAGGATCATGCCAGACGTTCTAGTCAAGGTCATCCTGTTGGTGGAAGGGGGTCAATGGAAACTCAAAACACATTCTGGTTTCCAGGAGAAACATACGGCATAAAGGTCATAACCCATCATGCTATGTTCCATGGGTAAACAAAAATACTTACACTTACTCTGGTATTTTTTGTTTCCCCAAAGAGTTCTTAGGACATTGTGGCCAAAGGGGCCATGTTGAATGGGTTGACAAAGAATAACCATGATTTGGCAAGTTATGCCAAGGAAATCTGCAGTCCATATATCCTTAAGCATCCTCATGGCTTAAAATGCATTTTTTTAAAGTAACATCTTTCAAAACAAATACAAATAAAAAGCATCAATAGAAACATAGGTTCTCCCGGACTTTTTAAAATCAGCTTTTCAGATGACATCCCATCCACCTGTTGCATGTGTTTAATGTGTTCTTAAGTATGCCAATAGCAGTTACCCAGGTATATATTATATCCTTCCCCTGATGTTAAAATGATTATTTGGCTCAAAAACTTAAAAAAAGTTAATCTTTCCTCTTGAATCACCATTTCATTCAATAAATTCATTTCTCTGAGATCACTTTCCTGGGATGTCATCACTGTTGTTCCATCTATACTCACCAAACTGCTCACCCCTGGGCAGTCCACTGATGTCAGTCACTGTACCTTGAGCAGATAAGACTTACAGAGGATAACACAGACCCACATTAAATGACTCTGTTGCCCTTACGTATGATGTCAGTATGAAGGGAGATTTAAAAGCTTCTCTCCCATTTTAAACACTATAAACTTATTTTTTGTCTTTGGACTTAACAGAGATGATTAAAAAATACAAGAGCAGGATGTCGTTCACTTCAGCGCATTAGGAAGGATTTTAGAGACCCTACCTTTCACCTCCAGCTTGCATTCCACTTCCGCCGTCCCCAGGTCATTGACTGCTAGGCAGCTGTAGGTTCCTCCATCATAGGGGCTGGGCTTACGGATCTCCAAAGTACACACTCCTTGGTTGCTGAACATCCTATATCTCGGGTCATTCAAGATGGCAACTTTGTTTTTCAACCAGGTTATTTTAGGCTGTAATTATGATAGGAGGGGGAAGAAAATGGAGGCAAATGTATGATAAAAAATGATAAAAAGAGGAGCATCAAAGCCAATGAACATAAGTTACATTGATGGTTTTTGGTTTTACATCACAGTCATTTCCTTACATTATCTCCCCCCCGGCATTGAAACCTTTCTTTCTTTTTTTTTTTTTTGTTACAAAGAAAAACATTTGAACAAGACTAATCAATACAGTACCAAGCCTAACAACGTACGCAACGCTCCACACCTCGAGTCCCCCAACTCTCTGCAGAGAGGAGGGAGGTGTGTTCTCATCATCTGTTCTCCTAGACCACATTTGGTCATGACAAGAGTCAACATTCAGCTGCTTTTTGGTGTGTAACACAGAATTTCAAAGCAAGATTTATAGGGAAAGAGGAAAAAGAATCCACAGCAACAACATTTGGTGTTGTTGTTGTTTTGATTAAGTTATGTTTACTATTTGGGCAGAGAATGCTAATGAGTAGTCCTGGAGAAAGAAGACAGATTTATTCAGAGTTACTGTGTTAGAGTAGAGAGATAGCACCCCTTTACAGATCTGTAGTGGCCATGATATTAACTCATCCGTCATGTCTTGAGATCCTTTGCAGACACTTCAGAAAGGATCACTACTGACTACTTTTGCCTCCTCCCCCTGTCAAAGGTTTTGTTTTTCTAGCACTTTAAGGCTTACAAAGTGTTTCAAACCTCAAAACCTGAGAGATTGGTAGGACAAGTAGTGCCCTCATTCTGCAGATGAGGAAACTGAGGCCGAGATGCATTAAGTGACTTGGTTTAAACAGTGAAGAGCTCAGATCTAGCCTCAGATCCTGACTCCGATCCACTCTCTCTTTCCAATACACCCTCCTCTCCTTCACTATGGAACTTCTTGGAGGAACATTCTCTTTTTTCACAGCAGTCTCCTCCAGAACCCAGGGTCAGACTTCACTGAAATAGCTTTTCTTCAGCCGAATGACTTCACTCACTACCTACTAGCTGATCGCAAAGCTAGGAAGCAGCAGAGACGGGATTTGAACCCCGGACCCTTGATACCAAAGCAAATGTTCCTCCCCATCACACTATCCTGCCGCCTCTAACCCTCCCTTAAAAAACACTCACCCCCAAACCTCCTGTCTTTCCTGATGGAAGCCAGCCCTGAGAATTAAAGAATCATTAGCATTCCCATATTACTGTATTTACTGTGCAAATGATTACTTATCCCCAGGGAAGAGAGAAAATAGCATTTGAAAGGCTAACATATTGTTTGTTTTTCTGATGATATAGTAGCAAACTTAAAAAGCACACACAGGCACATCCTGCCTGATAGGAATTGGCTTCTGGCAAAACTGAATACACTTGGAAAATGCCGTTCATTAACTTCAGGGGAAGCTAACTCCAGAGGAACAACATGACAGCCCAATGGGGTCATAATAACCTCACAGGAAAAGAGCTGGAAGGGACCTCAGGGGTCCTCATTCTACAGATCAGTAAACTGAGGGCCAGGGAGGCGAGGCGACTTCAAAGGCCAGTTAGTTCAACCAGTCTCATCTCACAGATGAGAAGCATTCTGCCCAAGGTGATGTGGGTAGTGAGTGGCAGAGGTGGGATTTGAATTCAGGGCCTCTGATTCCAGAGACACTGCTCTCTCCACTGTGCCATGTTTTTAGCATCCTATGGAGGCTTTTGTGAGACAAGGTTTGCCCGGCAGCTTTGTCCAGGGCAACCTTGTACGCAGCACACAGCACAGGGACTGATGGATCGTACCTTTGGATTTCCTCGGACGCTGCAGTTCAGGGTTGCGTTATAGCCTGCTATGGCATAAGTGTTCACCAGAGGCTGAGTAAACATCGGTGCTTCAGTGAAATCAAAGTCTTCATACACAGGGTTTTTGTAGACTTTTCCTAGAGGGAAAAACAACACACACAGAGGGGAAAAAAAAATCTATGAAATAGCCCAAAAAAATGAACATTTGGAGCACACACACGTCCCAAATGGCATGTTTTCCAACCTCAAAGTAGCCTGGCAAACATCAGATGGCACGTATGCAGTCAGTCCTTTGGTTTCCTGTATGTGTGCATACATGTAAATAGGTACCCACAGGCATCCCTCTGCTGGTTCTGCCCTCTCTGCCTTCCCTTGACTAACGAGGTATTCAATCAGACATGCACTGAGCAGGAAAATAGAAGTTGCTTTTCAAATTGGCACGTGATTTGGAGAAGTCACTTCTCATCCCCTTTCTATGGCCTTCCTGTCTAGGAAGAAGGATCGTGGGATACGAAGGCCCTGGAGAGATGCTAATGGGGAGCAGATTTAGAGATGGAAGGGATCCCAGCGGCCTTGTGATCATGGGCTCATAGACTGAGAAGTGAAAGGGAAATGAGAGGTCGTCTAGATGAGGAAACTGAGGTCTAGAGAGGTTAGTTGACAGGTCCAAAGTCATACAGATAATGCGTGAAAGAGCCTGAATGTGAACACACGTCCAGCCCCATCATTTTTCAGATGGGGAGCTTCCCTAAGATCATACAGGTAAGAAGTCAGAATATGACCTAGTAGCTCCTCTGAGGACAAACTCAGTGTGCTTTCTCCTATAGGAAAGTCTCCTGACCAAGTTAATGCAACAACAAGCATTTCTTTTGCACCAGGACTGAGAGACAAAAGCAAAGACGACTCTGTCCCTGCCTTTGAGGAGCTTACATGCTAGAGGCTGTATTCAGAAATGAAAGGATTGTTGCCTGAATTCAATCTGCCCCCTCCTCCCTGCCAAGCAAGTTAGGGTTTGTTTCAGGAATGTCCAAGCCTCGAGGCAGCTTGTGTTAATGAAACAAAGATTCCTTTTCCCCTTGGATTTTTGTCTTGGCACATGAGCGGCCAAGACAAATGGCCAGAAACTGGAAAGGATTTAAAGGGTTATGTTTTAAAGGACGGTGACTGAAAACTAATATTGGTTTTTAATACTACTTTTAATATCTCTGAACATTTACTTTCTTTATTTACTTTATTAGTTTAAAATCTCTGAACAGTTAGCTTTCTTTTTCCTTTCCTAGAGTGACTTCTCCCCACCCCCTCCAGCCCGACTCAGCTGTTTGGAACCAAGGCTCCAAACTCACCGTCCTTGGCAATCACTGCACTCTCTTTCGTCATTGTCGCCTCCTCACTGAGACCACACATGTTTTCAGCAAACACCCGGAAGTAATATTCGTTTCCTATGACGAGTTCAGTGATGGTAGCATTAGTTCTATGATAGTGCTCAATGACAGTGAACCATTCCTGGAAAACAGAGCCCACAAAGAGTCGGGTGAAACTCAGGCCTTCGGGGCAGGTGTGGTTGCCCCCTTTAAAAAAAATTAAATTTTTGTCTTTATAATGTAGTGCAGTCAAAAAACACTGAGTGTGGAGACCTATGAACTGAGTCCAGATACCAACTCTGCTACTTGCCATTCAACAAAATTATAGTAATATGATTATATAGCAATACAATTTTAAATAATAATAGTAACAACTAATATAGTACGTTAAAGTTTGCAAAGCACCTTGGATATAGGATGACATTTGATCCTCACAGCATCTCTGTGGGCCTGTTAGCCCACAGATGAGGTTTTTCAGATGAGGAAACTGAGGCTCAGAGGTTAAGGGTTCAAACAACCAGCAAGTATGAGAGCAAGGATTTGACCACAGGTCCAGCATCCTTACCAATAAACTGTGCTACTTTTTAGTACCAACTTACCTATCTCTGGAAGTAAATTAAAGTAAATCACTAGAGAAAAATTAGTCATCATTTATAGTAACAATTTGGCTTAATTATAATATTAACAAATGAGCACCAGTAGTTGTATTAAAATAACAGTTACTTTTAATTATCTCTTAATCATTCAAAGAATGTTTAAGTTTAGTATGACTGATAGAATATATATACCTTGTCATTCACATTTAGTACAGCTGATGGAGAAAAAACTATGCATATATGTGTGTGTGTATGTATATATGTATGTGTGTGTATAAATATACACACACATACATATATAGAGGGGGCTTTTTTTAGATAAAAGAATAATTATAAATATAATATATTTTCTACATGGGTCACAATTCCCTTCTTTGCAGTTTTGGTATTTTAAGTGAGAAAAAGACTATTTAAGTCAAATACTCATTTTATCAAGTATAATGAAACAAATTCACACAAGGCCCAGGCTCTAAAGAATATTCTTTTTCACTAAATTGGAACTGGACCCAGATTGATTGGGAAAAACTCAACACTCAGAGTTAAAAGGGGTGGCTTGGTTGCTTCCTGGGCAATTAGGAATTCTCTCTTCCTTGGTCACTCTCTGGTCACTCTCTCTTCTCTCTCTCCTCTGTTCCCTGCTCTGGCCAGCCCCAAATGTCTAAATGATGGCCATTTCACAAGGGTGCTGTCCCATTTGCTAGCTAACCTTGTGCTGGTCTTTGAGTGCTATGGGCACTGACCTGACAAGGATAGGTAGTCCTAGAAATATAGAATCAGAGGGGGATTATCAATTGTCAGCAGGCTAGCAATATCATGTTAGAATAGCCAGTGATCGGGGCAGCAAGGATGGAGCTATTATTACTGCTATTTTACAGTTGCGGAAACAGAGGTTAAGTGACTTGCCCAGGGTCCCACAGCTAGGTAGGGTCTGAGGCTGGATTAGAACTTAGGTCTTCCTGATTCCAGGCCTTATGCTCTATCCCCTGTACCACCCCACTAGCTGCCCAGAATGGCACAATACTTGGAACTATCACCTGGGGACACCTGGAGGCTATGGCTTCCCTGGGCCCCTGTGCTGAAGCACACATCCTATGTAGCCAATACCAGGAATTCTTCACCTTTCTTGTGTCATGGACTCACCCCTTGGGCAGTGTCTGGTGAACCTGTGAGCCCCTTCTCAGAATCATGGTTTTAAATGCAGAACATAAAGTACATAGGAGTACAAAGGAAGCCAAGTACATTGAAATGGTTACTAAAATATTTTTTTAAAAATACAAGTTAACAACGTTGTACATAGTAACAGCAACATTGTGAGATAATCAACTATTTCTTAGCTTTTCTTAGCAATACAATGATCTAAGACAATTCCAACACATTCATGATGGAAAACGCTATCTGTATCCAGAGAAAGAGCTATGGAGTCTGAATGCAGGTGAAAGCAGACTATTTTCACTTTCTTTGTTTTTTTTTTGTGTTTTTTCCCTTTTGTTCTGTTTCTTCTCCCACAACATGACTAATGTGAAAATATGTTTAACGTGATTGCACACGTATAACCTGTACCAGATTGCTTGCTGTCTTGGGGAGCGGGGAGGAAAAGAAGGGAGGAAAAAAAATTTGGAACTCAAAATCTTATGAAAAATGAATGTTGAAAACTATCTTACCATGAAATTGGAAAAATAAAATACTATTTGCATAAAAAAACCAAGTTCACAAAACCCCAGATGAAGAACTCCTGGCTTAGCCAATGTAATGTGCAGCAGCTGTAGGTGGCTATCATTTGCAGTAAAGGTCCTCAGGGTCACGCCACTGCTGAGAAGGGAAGGCTGGTGAAAAGGCCGCAGCTCATACTTTGTGGACTTTTTTGCCAGGTCTGTATTCGAGCGCTCTGAGGATCAACATTTAGAATCAGCTTTGGATATGCCCTTTCACTATTTTTGAACTTGTGATTTCTGGCACAGCCCGCAGGTCTTAGGAAGTCTTAGATGCTCAGACACTTAGCTTATAAGTCATCCATCTGCCCAACTCCCTGGAGGCCCATGTTTTGATGAAAGATAATACTCCAGATACCAAATCTGATCAAATTATGTAATATCTATCCAGAAAAATGGAAAGAAGATGAGATATAAAAATAGTCTGCTCAGGGGTGTCTGAAATTCTAGAGTTCTGCTTCTTCCTTTGGTCTAAGATTCTAGACTGAGAGCTAGAAGGGGTCCTTAGAGGTCATTTACTCCAACCATTTCATTTTACAGATAAGGAAACTGAGGTGCAGAATGGTGGAGTGACTTAACTCAAGTCAGCCAGGTAGTAAGTGTTAGACCCAAGATTTAAACCTAGTCCTCTGTCTCCAAATTCAGCTCTCTTTCCATAGCACGTTCACACTGCCCTTTCCAATTTTCTCCTTGTCTCCTATTACTTCTACGCCTTCAGTAAATAAATCCATGCTGAGAGGTATTAATGCCAAAAGACTTTCTATCAGTAACAGGAATGATTTTCAACCGTGGTCGGTCCACACTCCACACCAGGGGCTGTTTGGGGGGAAATGCACACACACACACACACACACACACACACACACACACACACACACACTTTGCTTTATGCCACTCCCTGTGGTTTTGTTCCTTCCATCAACTTCATAATTTAGTGGATGATCTTTCCTCACCCTGTGGTTAGTCTGCTGAGGAGCCCTTCCAGAGTTACCTATGCTTATCAACATACAATGGAGTTAAAATAATGGGATCACAAATCTAGAGTTAGAAGAGATCTCTGACTCTAGTCCAGTTCTCTCATTTTACAGATGAGGAAACTGAGGCCCAGAAAGGATAAGTGACTTGTCTAGGTTCGCAATCTGGCAAGCGTCCAAGGTAGGATTCAAACCCAGGCTTTCTGGAGTTCATGTCTCACATTCCATCCACTGTGGTACCTTTTCCCCTCTATGCCTTGATAAGCCGGCAGAATAGGACTTCAGCATGGCACACTGGAAGGATCATTGGCTCTGGAATCAGAGGACGTGGGTTCAAGTCCTGCCTCTGATACTTATTGCCAAAGTGACCTCCCTGGGCCTTGAGGCGGCCTTTGAGGTCTCCTTCCAGCTACCGGAGAAGGGAGGCGGTGGAGTTACCTGACTTTGTTAGCTTCATCTTGAAGAGACAGAATCTCCTCTTATGACGTTTGGAATAAAACTGCATCCAGTCGTGAGCCTGGTCACAGAACGCGCCAGAGACTTATCAAAACAGGGGCTCATAGGAATGAAAACTTCACTACCTCTTTCTGGGAGTTAATTTTCAGGGGCTTTGAGGTGATCCAGGGGTGTCTTAACTCCCCTACACTTAGGAAGAAACTTCAAAAGATCTTTTTTCATGTTGAAGAGTCCAGGAAAGCTTCTAGAAACTTATCTGACTTTGAAACACAAGAGCCTGGCAGTGGGTAGTGGCTTGCACCAGATGACCACTCCCTTCTCTTCCAAGCCTGAGGTGGTAATACAAGAAATGCAAATACTGAAAGAAAGGGCAGCAAAAAGGGTTTAGGTTCTCTCCTCACTAGTCTGTCCAAAGAAGGGGGTGAACTAGACAAGGCCAGCTCTAGCGCCAGTGAATAAGCCCTATGACTCGTCAAAAGAGCTACAACTGAGCCTTCAGTTTTTATCTACGTAAAGCTCTGTACCAGCATTAATTTCGTGCCCTGTCCCCATATCATTTTGTATTTATTTTTCCATTTTTTTAGTAAGTACTTGTATTTGTGTATATTTTTGTATCCCAACAGTAGACTGAAAGCTTCTTGAGGGTAGGGACTGTTTTGTCTTTTCCTATCCAGCTTGTAGCCCAAAATGGTTTTTGAATTGAATTGAGATCAGTCTGACAATATGTCACAAAACTGACTTTGACCCGGTGGTCTCATTGTTGAGATCTATCCTAAAGATATCATGAAAGGGAAGTAAAGGCTATCTTTGTACAAAACTATTTGTAGCTGTCAAAGTGGGGACAGCAAAGGACACACACAGAAATATGGAATGAAGCTGTGAAGGGATGCAAAGGAAGATCATCAGGCCCAGGACAGCACATACATGATAATGATTTAAAAAAAAAGAAAGAAAACCAAAGCACACTAAAGGTGATGAGGTTTCAGATGGTAGAAAGGGGTATGGAGCAAACCTATTTTTAAGCTGATCCTGGGTTAGCTTGCCTTTATTTTGTTAAGATGTATTGTATGATACCTTTCCCTGCCCCTCACCCCAACTCTTCTCCCTATCTGGCCAGAGGCAGCCTGGGGTAGTGGAGACAGTGCTGCACCTGGAGGCAGGAAGACCTGAGGTCGAATCTCACCTCAGATACCTGCCTAGCCTTGTGACTCTAGCTAGGCAAGTCACTTAATCTCTATGAGGATCTCAAGTGATTTCCTTGGAGTTAGCTTCTAAGTCAAAGCTGGATTGTTGAGACCTGTGATTCGTACATTTGGGTTCCCAGACATTGGGTCATACTGAAAAAATCAAAGCAGATTTTTTGCGATAACTCTGTGACTTAAACTCAGTGACCACTTCATCCTGGACAGTATCTCAGCAAGCCAGACCTGCTCTCCCCCTTACAGCGAGTCAGCGGTGCAGGCCAGGGGACATCTTGGTACTCAAAGGACTCTGACAAAGAGGGAATTTCTGCTTCTGATTCTTCATAGAAGAATCTCCAACAAACATTTAGTAATTCAAAGCACTTCTTCAAAAATAACCTGTTCAATATAAACAATCCAGTTTAAAAATTCTGGGTGTTCCTGGATTTTTTTTAAAATGATAGGTCATTAAGACACTCTTAAGACTTGGCTGTGCATCTGAAAGGATGGATACACGTTCCCCTGTGTATTTCCCATCCTCTGCTCTCACTTACAGTACTGCTGAAGAGAGTTGGGGAAAGTCACAACAGTGGTTACACTATAAGTTAATGTTAGTTAGCCAGCTTTAACTGGGCCCTCACTGCAAGGCAATCCTGTCATTCCTCCCTCAATCCTTCCTCATCTCACTGCCTACAGAAGCTGTTCCAAACCTTCTCTTTGCTTCTCAAGCCTCCCACACCTTTACCCTCCTCTCACTCTCTCAGCAGAGGACTTCACCTCTTGCTTTACCGAGAAGACTGAAGCCCTTTGCTGTGAGCCCTCTCTTCTCTCTTCATCTCAAACCCGGTGGCATTATCTCCCATTATCTCCTCCTTCTCCTAATCCCTGATAGGCCAGCATCTCTACTAACACTCCCCAGATTCCATCCCCTCCAGTCAATTGAACTTTTAATCATTTCTCTCTAATCTTCAATTTTCACCTACTGATTCCTTCCCCACGGCTGCCTTCAAACATTCGAAATCTTAGCCTTAAAAAACCTTCACTAGACTCTATCATCCTTCCAAGTCATCATCCTGAGTCTCTCCTCCCGTCCCCAGTCAAACTCCTAGAAAAAGCTGTCTATGCTTGTAACTCTCCCCCCTTTGTAATTTGGCTTCTGACCTCATCACCCAAAGGAGACTACTCTTTCCAAAGATACCAACAATCTCTCCATTGCCAGGTCTGATGATCCTTTCTCCTCACGCCCTTTTTGATCTGTCTGCTGTATTTGTGACGCTCTCTCTCCTCTGGGTTTTCACTGCCCCCGTGTGACTGTTCCTTCTCAGCCTCCTTTGCTGGTTCATCAGCTGAATCGTCTGCCTGCTCACGATCTCCCCAAAGCCAGCTGGGCGTGCCTTCTCTTCTCTCTCCATTCTCACTCTCCTGGTGGCCTCACCTGCTTCCCGAGTTCGATTCTTGTCTCTGTGACGATGATTCACGGATTGACGTGCATCAGACGCACACCACCAACTTCTCCCCTACCTCCAACACCTCTCCTCTTCCAAACTCCCCTGTTTCTGTTGAAGGCCTTGCCCTCTCTTGATTTTCCCAGATTCCTAAGCTTATTGTCATCCTCAACTCCTTTTTCTCCCTCAGCCCAAATGTCAGGTTGACCAGGCTTGCAATTTCTACCTTCACCACATCTGTTACACTAAGTTTTTTCTCTCCCCTTAGGTCTCCCCTTTCACCTAGACGTGTGCAATGGCCTCCCCACTCCAGCCTATTCAAACAGCTGCCAAAATGGTTTTCCTTAAACACGTGTCGTGTCTGACATGTGGCTTCCCTGCTCAGTAGGCCAGGGTGTCTCCGTCTTGCCTCCTCTGTTCAGCTTTTAAAGTCCCTGCCCAAAACCTCTCTTTCTAGGCTCCTGGACATTAGTCCCCCCCCCCCCCCCCCCCCGCTCTTTGATACAGCCACACTGTCCTTCCCTATGCTCCACACACAAAACACTCTATATCTCACCTCCCTGCCTTTGCACAGGCTCCCACGCAGGGAGTGCCCTCCCTCCTCATCTGTGCCTCCTAGAATCAAGTCCCACCCTCCACACAAGGTTTTTCTTGATCCCTCCGACTCCCCAGTGCCCTCCCTCTCTAACTGCTTTGTGGTTTTTGTATTTATTCTCTCTATATTTGTTGTGTATGGACCTCTATATGTGCTTGTCGTCTCCCCTGTTAAAATGTAAGCTCCTTGAAAATTGCTTCCTCATTTGATTTGTCATGCAGTAGGCGCTTAATAAATGCTTATTGATTGATTCATTTATCTACACGCACACATAAATAGACACACATATATTTCACCAATGAAATTAGATAGTACAAATTTGAAATAAAAAATTTTTCTCCTTGCTGCCTCAGAGAAATAAAAACTTACCATACTCTTCTTGTCAGCTTTTTGAATTGTGTACCCTGTAATGGCAGCATTTCCATCATCCTTTGGTGGTGTCCATGTCAAGGCAGCGTTTTCTCCCCAGACATCTTCAATCTTCACAACTTGGGGCGGGCCAGGACGGTCTGAGAAAACAAAAAGCACAATGTTACAGTCAGGCCATTTTCCACCAATCTGTATCTGTATTTATATCTATCTATCTATTTATTTATCTTTCTATCTATAGCTGTCAGAAGAACATTTCTGAATCTCTTTCTTCCCACTTTGAGTAGTACATAATCTGGATGCTCATAATTTACTTTGTGGAGAAAATGTGTTTTCTTTTACAACACAGCTATGGCATATCTCAAAACACATTACAACCTCAATGTTCTTCTTCATTTAAGTTTTTTTTCAGCCAGAAAAGCATGGTTAATATAATTGGGTTATATAAATTAGCCCCAAAGTGCTGACTTTTGCCATAAGAAATCACTACTTTGGGTGCAGGGGGGAGGGTAGTCAAAAGATGGATTAGAAGTTCCAATAAGAATTCTTTACCTCTGCTAGTCTTCAACACACTTTTTGACCTTGCCGAGATGATAGAATGACAGAAGTAGGAGGGACTTTGGGAAGTCATCTCCTCCACTCTCCAATGCTTAGAAATGACTACGATTTATTGATTATGATGAATTTTCTGTTAGCAATTTTCCAAATTTTGGTTAAAGATTAGCATTCTAGAAGAGTGTTAGAACAGCAAGGAAGGCAGGGCAGTTGAGTTGTTGAGGTCTGCAGTAGCTCTGAGGCTGAATTTAGAAACGTCAGTCAATGACTCCTACGTGTACTGACACAAATCTACTCCAATAATGAACATCCAGAAAGAATCCATAAAACTGCTTAGAGATGGTAATTTCCCTCTAGAACAGTACTACAGGCAACAACTGAAAATCATTTGGCCATTGGGAAAGTCTCATGTTGTTGTTCAGTTGTATTTCAGTCATGTCTGACTCTCTGTGACCCCATTTGGGGTTTTCTTGGCAGAGATACCAAAGTGGTTTGCCATTTCCTCCTCCAGCTCATTTTACAGATGAGGAAACTGAGGCAAACAGGGTTAAATGACACACCCAGGGTCACACAGCTAGTGAGGGTCTGAGGCTGGATTTGAACTCTAGGAGATGAGTCTTCCTGACTCGAGGCCTGGGGTTCTATCCGCTGGGTCACCTAGCACACCTTCATGTACCTGGACATAAAATGCCTTCAGAAGGCAGTTGAAAGGCTACTCATGGAGAATTTTTTGGCAAAAATAAAAAAAAAAATTGTAACATGAAAAATTGGGTGGTGGGTGGAAAGGGAAAGAGGAACCGATTTGTTTATTAAATTTTGGAATTTTGTGCAACTGATTTTCTGAAAGTGGGGCATAGCTGTATTAATCTAAAAAAAAAGCCTCATTTCTACACTTGCTATTATAATTGGTAAAATTAGAGCTCTATACTACTTTGACAAAAATACATTGTTTTCTTTCTTTAAACCTACCAACTATCTGAATATCTATTGAGGCAGTCTCCACAAATTTGTCCACTTTCACTTCCAGATCATATTTCCCTGAGTGACTCCTCTCTGCTTTTCTGATAAAAATGATGGTATCCGTTTCAGAGTTGCGTATGTTTATTTGGTTCTTATCCATAACAGCACCATCCTTCTTCCAAGCTAACTCTGGCCTTGGTTTTCCCTAAAAAGAAAGGAAAATAAAAACCCAAAGTGAAACAAAGAAGCTATTTAACGTGGCTGTGTTCTTTGAGAATACACAAAGGGGTCACACGGCTGCAGTGTTCGAATCGAGGCCCTCCTGACTCAAGGATTTATCTTCTGTATTACGCTGCCTCGATGTGTATTTTGGGGCAGCAATAAAAAAATGGTTAATACATTCAAGTCAATTCAGAAGGGCTTAGGCTGGTGGTTGACTACATAAGGCAAGCCCCCATTGAGTCTCACCCTTTCACGAAGGCACAGTTACTGGCAAGGTAGAGGGTTGGTACTAAGTAGAAACTGATTTTAATTTCATAAGCCATATAGAATTTGGTGGGTCAAAGTGATTTCTGAAAATGTTTTTTGAAGGCATATATAGGCCCATATTTGTATGACTCATACAACCATCTAAAATTCCTGATTATATTTCAAATGGATTAGTTTTAACCTAAAACCAGGAAGCCCCTTCCATAGCAGAAAGCATTATTTTCTGAATGTTGGGCTTTGTTTAAAAGGACAGCCAGGTTTCCACTAGAAAGGACCTTAAAGGGTCACTTATTTTCCCAGGCCCACCCTCCTTCCCCCTCTCCTTACCTCCAACTTTAAATTAAGAACAGACCTAATCCATCTCGGACAGAAAAGCAATTTTCCTTGATTCTGTGGGCTTTGTCCAAACCAATTTCAGTGTTTAACGACCTTCCCTTTCAGAAAGAGCTTCCTCATGGTTGCCTAAACCTCACTGTCACCCCATCTCCATTTCCTAACATCTTGGACCAGATGCCCTTAGAACAGAGAAAAGGCTTCCATGTCATTGTTACCTGGAAAGGAATGACAAGATTTACAGCCTCTCCAACTCTTCGAATATAGGTTTGCTTCAGATGTCGAGGGATACGAATCTTGGGAGGTTCTAACAGAAGAAACAACATTTTTGAACTGTCAGGTTTTTCCCAGACTATGTAGGAAATGAGCTTACATAACAGAAACAGCAAACTTCATGGTGCCCCAAATGGAGACATTTTCCATTGACCAGGTCTATGCAGTTAGCGGCTCATTTACACCACGTTTAGCCAAAGCGTTTTCTCTGGATAGAAATACTCTAAGATCAAGCAGAGCAAAGGTTTTCAACATGACAATAGTTCATATGCGTGAAAGCAGCTATCTCATCTTCTCTAAGTATCTTCCTCCCTACACTTAATATCCCTCGTTTCTGTACAGCATGGTGTCCAGCCCCATCACCGTCCTACTCTTCTTCTCTGGTCATTCTCCAGTGACCAATGTCCTTCCTAAGAGAGGCTGCCCAGAGCTGGACAAAATGCTCCTGATGGAGTCTGAACAAGGAGAATGCAGTAGCACTATTGATCTGTCATCTACCTCATTGGACACATGATTTAAAACGATGTGGGAAGTCTTTTCAATGGTGCAGAACACAACTTGCTCAATGTCTCTGATCTCATCTCATTTCTGTCCATGTCTTTTTATTGATCTGTTGGGGAAGAACTACCTAACCCATGTTCAAGGCATTCTGCAAGGTATTTTTAACAACTTATCATTTATTTACTTTTAATGTTTAAAAAAAATCGAGTTCTAAATTCTCTCCCTCCTTTCTGCCACTCCCCCACCCATTGAAAAGGGAAGCAATTTTGATATCAATTCTACATTTGAAAGCTCCATTAAGTCTTGTAACACTCTATATGCCAGCTGTTATGACTCTCCTTATCCAAGTATTAGCTTTTTTTCCTGGCTACTATGTTATATGTTGGCTCATAGGGAACTTGTAGTCCACTGAAAACCTCAGATCTTTTTCACTCAGGACTGATGCTCTTTCTGCTTGAACAGAGATCAATGGTTCTTTGATTTCTAACTTCTGGGAGTCATTGGTAAATATATCATTTAAGGAGAGAAGATATGAGAAGATTCAGCGTGGTGAAGGGAGAGTGGAGAGGAGGAAGGAACAGAGGAGGGGACAGGTGAGAAATAAAAAATTGTCATAACTTACCAATAATCTCTCTGACTAGGATTGGTTGTCCGTAATATTTGGGTTCACTGGCGCCAGCAGCGTTCACAGCTTTCACTCTCACAAAGATTCTGGCATCCGTTGGAAGGCCAGTGATGGTGTATTTAGTTTTATCAGTCAGTTCTGGGTTGGCCACTATCCAGTCCTCCGCTAATAAGTAAAAAAGAAAGGAAAAAGAAGGAAGAATTCTCTAGTTATTCTCATGCAGTATTTAACCTGAAATCTCAGGCAGCAGAAACTCCAAATTGTATTTTATTATCAATAATGAAACTAGGGCATGAGACTTTGGGTCCAGACAGAGAAAAAAGGGCTAGACATTTAAAAAATTTAAACGGAAAATGGCATTAAAATTGTTTAATTTTGAGGTCTCAAATAAATTGTTACTAGAAGGGAATTCTGTGATTTCTGAATACCCTCTAATTTTCTGGCTATATAATATAATGTGCAATCTATAGTGGCAGCTGTGCTTCAAGAGCAGAAAGTAAGCTCTGTGAGGGCAAGGACTGCTTTGTTTCTGTCTTTCTATTCCCAGCACATGCATACTCCCTTGCACATAGTAGGCTCTTCATAAATGCCTGATGAATTGAACTGAATCTGTTATTTCATCCTCCACCGATGACCCCTCTGGAACTTGGCAGATGGTCACTGAGAATTAATATATCTAAAAAAACCCCAGCACCTGCGGCCAAAGCACCTTATTTAGGTTGACTCTTGGGAGACAGAGGCAGACAGAGTCTAGAACCAGGCCCATATTCAGAGGTTTTCCAGCTTGGTAGGTACTGTCAGAACTGGTGCTTTGCTGGCATGGCATCTGAGGACTGCAGGTTCACGTCTACCACAAGAGGACACGCCAGAAGGGGACATTACGTACCTAGAGTACTCTTCTACTTGTTTTCTCTCTGTGGTTTGATAATAACTGATATCATCATTCCACTTAGCTATTTGTATTCATAAAAATTCAGAAAGCAATGAAAAGTACCGATACGGATGACGAAGGCATCAGCATAATTTATAGCTATAAACAGTTACGTACGCTTCCTCTCTGCAAGTGCATCACCGAGACTCAAATATTAAGGTGGGGAACCAGATTGAAGACTGATACATCACTACTGGTGAGGAGAAAACTGGGTCCATTGACCAGAGAGCCAATTTGCATTTGCTATCATTCAGAGCGTCACAGCTTTAAAGCCAGGTAGAACCTCAGAGATGACTAAGTCCAGGTGAGATACCTGAAGCCTGGAGGTTAAGCAGTTTGCCTGAGATCATACGGGGAGTAAGCTGAAGAGCCAGAATTTGAATCCAAATCGCCAGTGGTCTTTCTTTCCTCTCTGCCTAAAAAGCTCAAACACTTCGAGGTTCCACCCCTAAGCCCAAACCCAGCACCAAGTGAGGGGGTGGCCCATCCTCACCCGCAGGATGTGGGCTAGGTGAAGACTGTTGCAAGCATTCCAGTTTCTACGCTGTTCTTTGCAGTTATGTTTCCATTGGCTGCATAAGGATGGGGTGAGAAGACTCAGATCCCTAAACTTTTCCTCTGATTTCTAGGGGCTCCTTTATGTGGAGATGGCAGGGAGAGGGTCAGTTAATTTCACCATTCACCATGAGCTATTCCCAGACATCTACACCATTGAGTAAAAAGCTTCATACTTCCACGGAATACTGTACCTGAAAGATCATACGCAGCCTCCCCCTTTTCATCAGACTGTTTTGGCGATGTACCTTGTAAGAGGTCATCATTAAAATTAATCCAAGACACCCACTTTCACACAAAGAGGAGTATTGTATCAGTAGTTAGCATTCTCTGTTAGTAAGTAATGCAAAGTGTGCAAAGATATCCATCTTCAGGAAAGCGATCAGGAGAGAGACACCAACAAATTTCTAGGTAGAGTTCTCGTGAGGTCAAGTTTCCTATCCTGTGGGTGGCCGCTCAGGAGCCTACTCATGGTCATGCTGAGCCCCGGGCTCCAGTCACAGTGAAGAAGGGCAAGAGAGAAAGAAAAGCGAAGCGAAGCACCTCCAAGTGCAGAGAGGAAGAGATAAGAAGAAGACCAACAGGCTGACGGGGAATAGGGATCCAGGTGTGGCGGGGCATGAAACCACCCAGCGCGCCTCCCCAGACATTATTTGTAGCGCCGTGTTCATCTCTGTTCTTTGTCTAGACCTTTCTACTCTGCAATAATAATGATAATCATAACAACAACAACTAATAATGAGAGGGAAAAGAGACTGGAATTGGGACGTCAGTCACATAGGACCTCCTAGGTAAGGAAACTCCCTCTGTCCGTGGAGGTTGGCGCTTTCTCGGCAACCTCCCAAATCTTAGGGATATGACTAAGTACGGAGAAGTTGTGACTTGTACAGGGTCACACAATCAGTGTGTGTCAGAGACTGGACTTAAACCCAGGTCTCCTTCCTGGCTTCAAGGCCAAGTCTCTATCCACTACCCCACACTGCCTCTCAGTAATCGTTAGACCACACATTCATAGAGTGCTTTAAGGTTTGCAGAGAGTGGGATAGAGGTGATTTACAGCTCTTCCTCTGTCTCTCTGAAGACACAGAGTCCAGGGAAGGAGACACCACCTAGGTCTCGGCACAGAGGCTGAGCACATGGGAGACTTATCCGTGTTCCCAGTCTGGAACTCCCTGCTTAAATTCCCCCTCACCCACCTTTTCTCTCTAGGGCTGTCAGAGGGCCAATAGGAGGTCATGGAAAAGTAACACAGGCCCAGGAGCAGCCCCAAAGCTCCCCAGGGATCACAGTCCTCCTCCTGTGGGCTCTCCCAGGATTCTCTCAGATCCTAGGGTCACCCCTAGGCCTTCATTTCCAGCCCACCATTCCATGACAACAGGGCCTTTAGTTCTAAGGGATTCATGTTTGAATTTCAAAAGGAGCTGGAAAGCATCTGAGACTATAGCGGGCAGTTGTTGAAACTCCCAAGGAAGCAACTGAGTTCTCAGTTCCCATGTTCCAGATGGGAGGAGGGAAGAAGGACGGCTTAGCTGATGGCCTGAGGCCTGAGGATATGAGAGTTATAAGGAGAAGAGACTATGGCTTTGAAGGGGAGAAGGACCCAGGAACAGGGATTTTCTTACAGCTGAGACAGAGAAGTAGGTAAAGTCCTAAAAGAAAGAGATCGTGCAATGCCTGTTGTGGTGGGTCTCTTAAAGAGGAGAAAGATGGGCGAAGAGAGAGTGAAAACAGGAGACTGAAAAGAAAACAAAGGAGAAACGATAAAGTTAACAATAAATGGGGGAGGAGGGAACAAGAGGAAGCAGAATAAAAATGAAGCACGAGGAAGGAGGGGATAAAAATGTTAAAATCCCCAACCCCCTTTAAAAGTAAATCACTCTAAAGAAGAAGACGAAAGAAGTGCTGGGAGTGGGTGGGTGGTGAGGAAAGGGAATGAACACCACGTCATACAGAAGAGAAGACCATCGACAATGCAAGGGGAAAAAGAAAACGTGTAGAAGAAAGAATAAAATACGGCAGGCATAAACAAGAGAAAGGCAGAGCCAGAAATAACACACCATCTTACAAAGAAAGGTTTTTCTTACAGAACAAAATCTGACATTTTCCAAAAGCATTAAAACATTATAGAAAAATTAGTTTTGGGGGACACAGCCATTGAGAGACTGAAGAACAGGGCAGCCAAAGAGAGAAAGAAAAGACCACAGGAAGAAACTAGAAAGATATAGACGTTAAACTTTCAGAGACAGGTGACTCCAAAGTCGTGTTATGGGGGGCAAAATAGATACATAATAATGACTGTGTACATATACATATGTATATATGGGCATATATATGCATATGTATCTACACAGCTCACACACAAAATTATGTAAAATACATTCATTGTATTTTATCTAAAGGTGGGTAACACCAAAATGACAGCCAGCTATCATTTTGTGGCATCTTCTTACATTTTAAACCTATCGGAAAGAAAAGAGTAAAGAATTTGCTCTGTTTCATACAACACAAACATCTGTGGTCAATGGCCACATCAAACATAAGACTGAACAATTCTGTATGGTTAACTGTAAACATTATTATAAATGGGGGAGGAGGAAGTTCAGGGTTATTCGAAATGTTGCAAGAATTGGAATTTCAGTACATCAACCCTGAGAGGCATTCGAGAAATTATGTCACTCAAAGCATCTTGTGAGTATTTATAATGCGATGGTGGCTTGGGGTGGTGTGATGGAGGTTCTAGGCTGTGATCTCTCTTCCCCTTTCCCTTGGTTTCCCCCATTCATTCAGGATGGCATCTTTTATTGGAAGTATTGGGGCAGATCTCAGGGTGAGAAGCATGTGACAGCTGAAACCAAGTTGACTATGTCTTCATCTCGTTCCCATCTGTTCTTCCGTCCTGACCAGAGACGATGCTCTAATCCTGGGGATGGGCATTTCTTTGTGAAGTCTCTCTGCACAAGAATTTTCTTTTCTATAAGCCTCTGTTCAACCCACCCCCAGAATCTCTGAATCCAGAATCTTTCTCATCTGATGGTTTTAAGATTGTAGGGTCCAAGAACTATTCAAAGAAGGTGAATTTTAAACATGAAAGGGAATCTCATTTCTTCTGTTTTTGTAGAAAAGTTAGTAGGCTTCTCTAACGATATCTTTACCTAACATGTCCTAGAATGAAGACGGAAGCTAGAAGGAGGTCAGGTTTGCTTACCGATCTTTGACTGGGACCTCCTTGATTTCTGCACTCGACTACCATGACTGTGTCTTTGGTTCTTGACGAGGATACAGTGAAGAACTAAGGAGGCCTTGCTCCTACCCCATCCCTCTTAGGGTTGTAAGCAATGCCCTGGTTTGTGCTTTCCCAACCATTCGTCTCTGTGTTCCTTGCCTCTTAGTTCTGTATCCCGCCTTGTTCCTGCTTCCTCTGGGCCTCTACTGCTTCTCTCTCCCCTCCCGTTCTTAAGGGTGATTTCTATCCCTAAGACATGGGATAAGGCGCATTGATCAGGGGCTGAACCTGTTCCATTGACTATCAGGACACAGGGCTGTCAACTTCACAAACTGAGAAAGAACTTTTTTAAAAAAACATGTTCTTTACGTTTACTTATTGTTCGTTTATCCTGTGAAGGACGGGAAGCTCAGGTCAGTGTGAAGTCTCTGCACGTGAGTCAGTGGCTCAACACCTTGGAGTGTTACTTGGGTGGGCAGTTAGGCTAATATCTCATCTCATAGGATCACAGATTTGGGGCTGGAATGGGCCTTGGAGGTGAACTTGTTTCACAGATAAGAAAACTGAGGGCCAAAGAGAAGAAGTGACTTGCCTAAGGTCACACAGGTGATGAGCGGCAGAGCCAGGATTCAAATCCAGGTCATTGATTTCTAAATCCTGAGCTCTCTCCCTGCACCACAGTTTGTGGTAGGATTGCCAAATCCGCTCATCCTAAACAAACATTGGTTATCTTGTGGAAGAATCAATTCCATTGATGAAAGGACTATGAGTCCTAAAGTTGCCTTTTTGGGACCTTTACTTTCGGTGTCTCAGCAGAAATGCACAGCACCAAGGTCACTAGGCTTAGTAAGAGGAGGCTTATGTTGGGAGCATTAGCCAATCAGTATAGGAAGGGCTAATTAAGAACACATCCTGGAGGAGCTAAATTTCATATATATACATATATATATTTTTTTAAAGAATTCACTTCAGCCTTGTTCTTAGTGTGAAAGAGATGACCTACCAAGGAAAGGAGAAAACATGGTGAGAAAGGTCTCCCCGAATGACTGCTGTCATTATTGTAAACCCTAGGAAGACACTTTCATAGTCGTTACTTACTTCCTTCAAAGCAATACTCTAACACATAGCCATCTAAACCTGCTGCACCAATCTGGTCCGGGGGCCTCCATCTCATCGTCACGGTAGTATCAGTTACAGAGTCAATAGCCAGAAGAGTAGGTGGGCTGGTTACAGCTTTAGAAAAGAAAAGAGAGGGAAAACCCATTACATGAGAGATCACAGAATCACAGAATTTTTGAGTTAGAAGGGACTTTGGCCGTTGTCTGGTCTACCTCTCCCCTATATGAAAGGAATCCCCATGACAACATGACTAGTGGTCATCCAGCTTCTGCTTGGACACCTACAATGGGGAGACTTTAAAAAACATTTTGCACATGACTCATCATTCATTTTTCCAGCCTCCTCTCATCTCTGACACTGATCATTCCGCTTGTGAGCAGCTGTGATTTTTGGTCAAATTTTTCCAACACAACACCCAAGTTTGCCTCTTGGTAATTCCTCCCCATTACTCCTGGCCCTGGGGTCAAACAGAACAAGCCTGATCCACCTTTCACATGCTCGGTCTTCAGATACTTGTAGACAGTAGTGGACAGCTAGCATCTCTCACTCCTTCCACCAAATCTAAACATACCCAATTACTCCAATTGATCCTCAAAAGGCATGGAATCAAGGTTTTCCCCATTCTGGCTGCCATTGTGATTTTTTTTTTCAAGTTTATTTTTCAAGTCTTTCCTAAACTGTAATGCCCAGGATTGAACGAAATCCTCTAAAAATGTTCTGACCAAGGCATAAATGACAGGAGACTTATCATAGTAACCTTCCCTCAATTACAGTCTTATAGAGTTTTCTTAGCCACAAAAAGGTTAAGTGATTTGCCCATAATCATAGAGCTAAAACATGTTAGAGGTCTTCTTGACTTCAAACCTAGCACTATAAATAAATGAATGAATGAATAAGAGTGTGTGTATGTATGTGTGTGTGTAAATTTGAATCACACAACAATCTCTTAAAGTAGGGAGAGAATATTTTACAGATATAGGAAATTTTATATTTTTGAATGAATAAATAGAATAATAAAATAAAATAAGTGTATGTGTAAATTTGGATCTCACAACAATTTCATAAAGTAGGGAGAGAATATTTTACAGGCACAGGAAAT